CGCCTCCCCACTCCTGCACGTGTCCAGCTCTCAGGAGGCAGGTGATCTCAAACCCTGCCCTCTGGTTCCGTGTTCCAGGGCCGCCAGGAAGGCCAAGCCGGCACAACCTCTGAGCCCTGATCCTTTGCAATCTGAGCCTCGTGCCCACTGGGCAGCTCATGGCAGCCTGCCTAAACACTCAGTGCCCATCTGGGTGTCAGTGGTGTTGAGAAACAAACGCCCCACGTGTCCACCACCCTTTCTGCCATGAGCAAAGGGGAAGAGGAGGGAGGCCGGCCCAGGGCCAGCCCAGGTGCAAGCTGGTGATCAGGATAAAGGGGACTGATACTTGCCCAGCCCGTGTTAATCCTCCTTCCCACCAACACCCCTTCCAAAACCAACAGTGTTCCTCCCGCAGCTTTGTTCTCTGCCCTTTGTTCCCTCCCCACAGCTCTCCATGCTTGGTAGCCTGGAGCTCTCGGAGCAGGATGCCAGTCTTAGCAGGGCCAGCCTCGCACATCTCAACCCGCCCATAGTTAGGGGTCCTGGGCAAGTGCCCATTATGTGTCTTTCTTAGTTCAGCTCTCACAGCCAGCTCAGCGTTTATCTACGGCCCTTCTCCAGGCCTGACGGAGGCCAGTCTCAGACTCACACAACACCTATCTTGGGCCCACCTGAGCACGGACAGTGAATGTAACTAGACGTTTCAGCAGGTGAATTAGCACAGACTTGGAGCCTGGCAAGGATACTGGCACATGTAAGCTGGGCTTGCCAAAGGCGGTATTTTGTTTTTATAACCAACCACAGAGAGGTTTTTATTTAAAAAAACAAAACAAAACAAAAAACATTTCTGCCAAAACTTTACACAAATGTTTTCTAGACAGTCATTCTGGTATCACCCTCACAGACTCACCTAATCTGGTTGGTGTTGTTGGTAGGTGTCATCAAGTCAACTACGAATCTTGGTGACCCTACAAACACCAGATCTGAACCCTGCCCTGTCCTGCGCCACCCTCCAACCCATTGTTACAGTCACTGTGTCAATTCATCCTGTTGAGGGTCTTCCTCTCTTTCTCTGACCCTTCACCTTTCCCAGCGTGCTGCCTTTTTCCAAGGACTGACCCCTCCTGACATGTGCTCAAAATACATAGGACCAAGTTTGACCATCCTTGCCCTCCGAGACAGACTTTTTTGTTCTTTTGGCAATCCATGGGATACTTGACACTCCAACACTGCAGCCCAAAGAATACAAACATTCACCTCCTGTCATTCTTATTCACTATGCAACTTTCAGAATGCATAGGATGTAGCCGAAAACACCATCACTTGGTCAGACACACCTTAGTCTTTAAAGTGACACCGCTGCTTGCCAGCACTTTGGAATGGTTCCTGACAGCAGATTTTCCCAATGCAGCACATCTTTCCCCCAAACCCCTCTAGTGACCATACTGGAACCAGCCCCATGGCCAGACAGTAGATCCCAATGCCTGATAACCTTACCAGACAGAGCAGAATGGTACCCAGAAGATTGGCAGAGCACTCTTTTTTTTTTGGTTTGTAATTTTCATTTTATATTGGTTTGCTTACAAAGTTTGTATACATTGTGTTTTACACTATTCTTCATTCACATTGTGTTTCATACAATCATTCCTACGCATTATGTTTTGTAAAACTAATCACTATTGCAAAACAACTATGAGATATCATTTCCTTCTTTTTTTAAATTTTTAAAAATAATTTTAATGAGCATTTACAGAGATTTTTTATTTCTATTCATTCATTGCTGCACTTCTCTCCCCACCCCAGCCTCTGCCCCCCCCAAGTTCACTTCTCTCTTTCAAAAGTAAATCAGAATAGCAAAATTTAACAGAACAGCAAACATCAAATGTTGGCGAGGTTGTGGAGAAATTGGAACCCTTATTCACTGTCGGTGGGAGTGTAAAATGGTGCAACCAGTGTGGAAGGCGGTATGGTGCTTTCTCAAAAAGCTGCCAAAAGAAATACCATTTGACCCAGCAATTCCACTACTGGGAGTTTACCCTAAGGAAACCATGACTGCCACCCAAGCAGATATATGCACACCCATGTTTATTGCAGCTTTGTTCACAATAGCAGAGAGCTAGAAACAACCGAAGTGCCTATCAACAAATGAATGGATAGAGAAGCTGTGGTTTATTCACACAATGAAATTCTATGCAGCATTGAGAAACAAGGAACTAGTGAAATAGTATGCAAAATGGATAACCCTGGAGGACATTATGCTGAGTGAAGTATCTCTGTCACAAGAGGACAAATATCGCATAGGGCCACTGTTGTAAAACAGGACTGACATCAGGGTTGAGGGAAGACAATAAAGGAGGAGAGGAATGATGTATATTGCATTGAAACAGATGAGGGAGAGAACTGTTTAAAAGGGACATATGAATGGGTATTCTTGTCATTACAGAAGTCTAGAGTGAAGGCTGCATAGTTGAGTGGACTTGGGGGGAGGGATTGCATAACAATGAAAGAGTTTTTCTTTTTTTTTTCAAGGAGAAGAGTGAACTGGAGGGGATGGGTGGGCAGGGAGAAAAGTGCAACAATGAATGACAGGAAACCCCAAGTCTCTGTAAACTTTCATTTAAATTAATTTAAAAAATAGAAAAGGAGAAACACAAGTGTGTGTGTGTGGGGAACCTAACAAACTAATCACTATTGGACCTTGTCTACCGTTACTCCATCTTTTCATATCCCCGCCAGATCTTTCGCATTCCCTTTAACCTCTCCCTCCACCCACCAAATTGTGCAACCCTGTACTTTCGCCCCCATCATCCTCACCACTCTGCTACCACCTCCCCTGTGTGTCCCCATACATGTTTTACTAGTTATCCTTCTATTTTTACAATAGTGGTCCTATGCAGTATTTATCCTTACAAGACTGAGTTAGTTCACTCAGCATAATGCTCTCCAGTCTCTCCCAAGTTATGTCATATTTTTCAAAATAATTGCTCCTGAGTGCAGTATAGTATTCCACTGTGTGACTGTACTATAATGTCTCAATTCATTCAGTTGTGATTGGACATTTGGGCTGTTTCCATGTTCTTGTAGTGGTGAATAACACTGCTGTGAACACTGGTGTGCAAATCTCCATTTGTATCTCAATTCTAATTTCCTTGGAGTACGTCTTTGGAGAAAGACATCATGCTTGGAAGGATGGAGGAACAGTGCAGAAGAGGAAGACCCTGGATGATATAGACTGATATAGTTACTAGGGCAGCGGGTGTTGGTGTGTCTGAATTAGTGAGACTGGCTCAGGACAGGGAAGGGTTCAGAGTGGCTGTACATAGGGGTCGCTATAGGCTGCAGGTGACTCGACAACACACAACAACAACAACAACGACATATTATATTGGTTGTTTTTTGTTTAGAGTCAACAAGAGCTCGTTGAGGGCCTTTGTATTTAAAAGTCAGTCGTTATTTTATTTTGGAGGAACATACTTCTAAGTGTTGCAGCACTCTTCTGTCAATTTGCTGTACTGAGGTAACCTGGGGTTGCTGTGATGCTGAACCTTGTGCCACTGGGGTTTCAAGTGCCCTAATGGTTACTCATGGTGGACATTGTTTGGCGGAGCTCTCAATTTAAGATAGGTTTGGAAGCAGAAGTGGCATCCATTTCCTAAACAGCATGCCTCTGGAAACTCTATGAACCTTGAGAAATGATGATAGTTATAGAAAAGCTTTTGGCCTTTTGTTCAAAGGGTTTCTATGAGTTGTGCTTTACTCAACGACAATCATCAGCAGCAGCAACAATAACAACAACAATAAGAACATATGCCTAATAATGACATAGCTGGGTCATACAGAGTTTCTATGTTCAACTTTGTGGGGAAATGCCAAACTGTCTTCCAGAGTGGTGGTCCCATTTTACAATCCCACCAACAGTGTATTAGAGTTTCCACCGTTCCACATCCTCACCAACATCTATTTCTTGCTGCCTTGCTAAACATTGCCACTGCTATTAGGGTGAGATGGCATCTCATTGTGGTTTTGATTTGTATCTCTCTTATTGGCAATGATTTTGGGCATTTCTTCATGTATCTGTTGGCCTTCCTCTGTGAGAAGCCTTTCTGTGTCTTTTGCCCATTCATAAATGGGCTATCAGTCTTTTTTCTTCTTCTTTTTCTTTCTGGAGGCCTCCTAATTTTTGTTACAAGACTCTTGTCTGAGATGGTATTGGCAAAACAGTCTTATGTGAGCCAATTGCTTCATCCTTCTCCCTCAAAGCAAGAAAGGCCCGGTTCCAACCTCCACCACCTGGCCACACTAGAAGTTGTCGTTACTTCCCCAAACCTGGCCATTCCCTCTGCCACTGGGGCCTCAAATCACTCTCTTCTAGTTTTGTGAAAAGTGCCACTGAAAAGTAAGCCAGATATTCCAACCTCCCTCAGCCTATTCTCAACCAGAGGAGGTCAGTGGGGTTTCCACAGCATGTTCCCTGATCTCCTGTTGGGGATCCAGTGGGAATGACAAGCATAAAGAGGCAACAGCAAACACAGGAGAAAAGGAGTCAATGGCTCCCTCCAACATATCAGTGGGCTCTCAGAGACCACAAACCTCAGGTCCTTTCTCATACCAAGACCCTTAAATTCAGATCCCTACAATCTCCCCTCCAGAGAACCTTCAACCTACATCCATTCTCCCTCTTTTTTCTCTCATACACATAAAATTAAACCTTTAAAGACTTAAACAGCCTTTCTCCTCAAATCCTTCTTCTTCTGAGATCCTCCAAATCTTCCCCAAGCCCTCCAAATCCAAACCTAAGAGGCTCTCCTGTCCAGATACTCCAGAACTTGCTCCCCTCACCTGAGATGGGACTCACTTACCATTAATCCGTCTGGAAGTCTCCCCCCACCTCCACCCCTTGCTGTCTGTGTGCCAAGCTAGGAGAGGTGCCTGGTGGTGTGGAGTGTGGTTGGGAGGTGACATGAGACAATTACATAAGCAGGACCAAAGTCCTCCTTTCGCTCCTAATATAAAGGCAAACCAGCCCAAGGCATCAGTGTCCCCGGGATCGTTCCTCAAACTGCAACCATGCTGGCCTCAGGGCTGCTGCTGGTGGCTCTGCTAGCCTGCCTGTCTGTAATGATCCTGATGTCTGTCTGGCGACAAAGGAAGACGTGGGGGAAGCTCCCCCCGGGGCCCACTCCACTGCCCTTCATCGGGAACTACCTACAGCTGAACACAGAGCAGATGTACAATTCCCTCATGAAGGTATCAGGAGGCAGGGTGACAGGTGGGATGGGGCTGGGGATGGGGGAAGACTGAGGCAGAGGACTGACCAGATTAAACCCAAATCCTAAAGCAGCAGAGTTTTAAAGGTTCAGCAGCAGGAGCCCATGTAAGACAGACCAAACCTTGGGACAGTTAGCCACTTGATTTACCAGAACTTGAGGGCAATGGACCCTGGGTACACTCCCTCTAACCCATGCCACCCATTCCCCTCAGCTCAGAGAGCACTATGGTCCTGTGTTCACCATCCACCTGGGGACCCGGCGGATCGTGGTGCTGTGCGGATATGATGCTGTAAAAGAGGCTCTGGTGGACCAGGCTGAAGAATTCAGTGGGCGAGGCGAACAAGCCACCTTCGACTGGCTCTTCAAAGGCTATGGTGAGGGGTCCCGAGTGGGGGACTGTGGTCAGGCTGGCTGGACGACCTCAGTGTCCCTAGCCTTCTCCCCGTGACTCACTTGTCCACTCCAGTCTGCAGCAGACTCTTCTGTCAGGTCCCCTCCTTCCCAGCCCTCCTCACTGTAAACGCTTCCTGGTCTGTCTCTAACCCGTTTCAGACTTCTTGTGGCTCCATTTCTCTGTCTTTATCTCTCCAATTCTCATAAGTTGGCTCGTCTTTCTAGTGTGCAATTATACAATGCTGTTGTGTGCCATCAAGTCAGACCAACCTATAGCTGACCCTCCAGAAGGTTTTCAGAGACAGAAAATTGCACAGGAGATTATCCAAGAAGCAAACTTTCTTGTTTTTACTAATCTGAAGGGAACAATGTCACTATTTCCCCTCCTTTCACATCAAAGATTCTGCTACTTGGGAGGGTAGAGATCGGTCTCTCTCCCAGAGCCCCAGCAACTTCTCACAGAATCAAAGTGTCTTTTCAAATTTACAGTCACTGATAGGGGTGCATACCCCGCAAGCCGGTAGGCAAGGGCTTGTTTGTGCTTATTTACTATATCCTGTGTATCACCACACATTAGTAAATAATGGTTCCCTATGTTGTTGTTGTTGTTATGTGACGTCCAGTCGCCTGCGACTCATAGCGACCCTATGTACAACAGCCCTAAACTCCGCTCTGTCCTGTGCCAATCGCACTGTCTCTGACACTCCCATCCTGATTATCCCAGTCACTGAATCGATCCACCTCATAGAGGGCCTTCCTCTCCTGCGCTGTCCCTCCACCCTCCCAAGCATGATGTCCTTCTCCAAGGACCGGTCTCTCCTCACAACATGTCCAAAGTATGTTAGACAGAGCCTCAGAATCCTTGCCTCCAAGGAGCCACCCGGTTTAACCCTTTCCAGGACAAATCTGTTTGCTTTCCTAGAAGTCCATGGTATTCTCAATACTCTTCTCCAGCACCACGGCTCAAAGGCATCAATTCTTCTTCTATCCTCCTTGGTCATTGTCCAACTCTCTGATGCATAACAAGTGATTGCAAAAACCATGGCCTGTATCAGACGCACCTTAGTCTCCAAAGAGATACCATTGCTCTTCAGCACTTTATAGAGGTCCCTAACAGCAGACTTTCCCATGGCAATGCGCCTTGTAATTTCCTGGCTGCTGGTGCCAAGACTGTTATAGATCAGTAAAAAAAAAACTGCTCCCAACAGATTTTCTTGGCATTTGTTTGGGGCCCTGGACTTCTGTAAATCTATTTCTCTCATTTTCTGAAAGCATTTGGGGAGCTTTAATGGCCTAGTGGCAAGGGAGCTCTGGTGGCCTAGTGGCAAGAAGCTACTCTGCAATCATGAAGGCCCTCGGTTCGAATCCACCTGCGGCTCGGTGGGAACAAGATGTGCAATCTCCTCCCTTGCAATCGATTAACTGCCTCTGAAAACCTGCTAGAGGGTCAGTTATGGGTCGGTTTTGACTCCCAGTACACAACAACAACAACAACAACAACGACCTAGAGGATAAATGATAAAGACAGGTGGTTTAAATCCTGCCAGTTGCTTCTAGGGACCCTTTGCCCTTGAGATTTACAGCCTCTGAAAACGCTCTGGAGGCTGAGCCACAAGTCAGTTCTGACCCAAGGACACCCAAGGGCACAACAATGACAACGCTTCTCTGTGGTTGACTATCCCTCCTGTCTTATGATCTTACACTTTCTACCTCATAAACCCTGCGGCTTGGTGTCCTGGTAACAATTTCCAGACCTCGGCTCTATTTTCCTTTCTCCCCCATCTGTCCTCTCCAGCTCAGTTTCAAAACTCTCTCGCTATTCCTCTCAGTCTCTCAGCTCTCGATGTATTTCTCCCTTTCCTCCTCGAGATCTCTCGCTCTTCACACACGAAACTGTTTCTCTCTGCTGCTCTGTATTACCTGTCTCTATCTCTATCTCTTCTTCCATTTGGCTCTCTTCCTCTTTCGGTGCTTTCTCGAATCTCTGATGAGCTGCGCGCGCTCCTGCTCACGCTCCACCCAGCTCTTTTATGGCACTGAATCCTTCCCACCTGGGTCTCTGGCCCTCTCCCCTCCACCCTCTTCCCTCCCCGAAGCCCCCAGGCTGGTCTCTGGCGCACCCCTCCCCTCTCTGACCTCTGCACCGCTCTGCACCTCCCTCCCCAGGCGTGGCGTTCAGCAACGGCGAGCGCGCCAAGCAGCTGCGGCGCTTCTCCATCACCACCCTGCGGGACTTCGGCGTGGGCAAGCGAGGCATCGAGGAGCGCATCCAGGAGGAGGCGGGCTTTCTCATCGAGACCTTCCGGAACACACGCGGTGAGCGGAGACCCCGGGGGTGGAGGGGAAGGCGACGAGGAAAGGAATACTCTGCCGGAGGGACCTCCCAGCAGGGCTCCAGGCTGGGAAAGGTTCTCAGGTCCAGGATCTGATCACGCCACTGTCTTAAACTGACACTCACTCTCCCCAACCTCCGTCTTGCCTTGTCCCTGTGCCTCTTCCAGGAGCCTTCATCGACCCCACCTACTTCCTGAGCCGCACTGTGTCCAATGTCATCAGCTCCATCGTCTTTGGGGACCGCTTTGACTATGAGGACAAAGAGTTCCTGTCACTCCTGCGTATGATGCTGGGAAGCTTCCAGTTCACAGCTACTTCCACCGGACAGGTACCCTGGCTCAGAGGAGCCTGTCTTAATCATGCCCCTACACTACCTCCTCCCCCACCCCATGAGCCCCAAACTCCTTTCCAAGGAAGGTTGTGCCCTAAACCACTCCCCACTGGTACACCCTATACAGCCCACTTAAAAAGAGCTGAACACCTGAATAGTTGCCCCCCCAAACCAGCCCTGATTTAATACCTGAACAGCTGTTGCACAGAAGCTCCCAATCTTAAAAGCTTAAATATAAATACAGACAAGTGTCCTCAAACTAGGCCCATCTGAGTGTCTAAACACCTGGACTGTTGACCTCTTAACCTATCCTCACCTGAACATCTAAATAGCTGGATCTGGGCCCCAGTTCATCTCATGTACATGTTTCAACAGGTGCTCACACCCTGAGCCCACCTGATAACTTAGATCTGTGCTTCCATCAAGTTACCTGGGCACATGCCTGGAACTCCTGACCCATCAGATCCCACCCACTGACTTCTGTCCTTTCTCTCCTGTCGTCTGTCTTATCCTCCCTGCCTCCAGCTCTATGAGATGTTTGCCCCAGTGATGAAACATCTCCCAGGGCCACAGCAACAGGCCTTCAAGGAGCTGCAGGGACTCGAGGACTTCATAGTTAAGAAGGTGGAGCAGAACCAGCGCACACTGGACCCCAACTCCCCACGGGACTTCATTGACTCCTTCCTCATCCGCATGCGAGAGGTGCGTGTGGCTGGCAGCCCATGCAAGTAATGATGGTGTTGTTTTCCAAAGCTAGGCAGCAGGAAATCAGGCTGGGCCCATTCCGATTTAGCCCCTTATCATAGTAACTTGATTATAATTAACTGTCACCATCCCATCGGCTGCACCCTCACCCATGACAGGGTCTTTGCATGTGAATCATCATCATGCATTTCTGTTGTACTACCGTGTTTGCTGGCTGGTATCAATGGTTACATACTGGGCTACTAACCAAAAAAATCAATGGTTCAAATCTATCCAGAGGCCCCTTGGAAGAAAGACCTAGTGATCTACTTCTGAAAGGTCACAACCATGAAAGCCCCTATGGTGGGCAGTTTCTATGATTGCAGTGAGTTGGAAATGACTCAGTGGCAACTAGTGTGTGTGTGTATGTGTGTGTGTATGTGTGTGTGTGTGTGTGTGTGTGGTTTCTTGTACTGTGGGACTCCTTGAAGGCCATCGTCATGTGACTCTGATTTTACAAATAAAGAAACTGGGGAGCAAAGAGCCTAGTGACCTGCCTGAGCTCACACAGGAAATGGCAGTGTCTAGCTCAAGCCCCCGTCTCCCGCCCCTGCAGCTGGTGCTCCTAGCTGCCACATACTCTCTTACCTTCTGCATCCCGGTTAGCAGGCACACCTGTGTGGCCAGGTGGCCTAGTTTACTGTTTGACTGTGGAGTGTCCCCATCCCCATCTAGTTGACAGTTGCCCATCTGTGTAAGGAAGGAGATGGTGCTTTGTGGAGTCTACAGTTCAGGGTAAATGGATCAAAGGAGGAGAGTCCTTCACACGAAGTGTCAAGATCAGCTGCAGGATGCTGTCCCTAAAACCATGTGTGGAGAACTCTGAATTCATTCTCTGAATATTTGTCCCTCCTTCTTACTCTCTCCCTTTCTCACCTTCTCTAACTATTCTTACCTATATATCCCCATGAATAGTGATAATTAATGAGTGGGCAAGGAGCCAGGTAATAAAATACAGGGGCCAAGCTGAGAGATCTTAGGGACTAGAGGGAGCTGCCGGGTCTGGGGGTCCCTGTTCCTCCTTGTGTCTAAAGAAAAGCTGACTTAGGGCATCGAAGAGAGAGGCAGGTGCATAGGGAAAGCCCTCACAGGGTCCTGCGGGGGTGGTGAGTGGGCTTGGCCTGAAGTCCCCTCTCTCCACAGGAGAAGAAGAACCCCAACACGGAGTTCTACATGAAGAACCTGGTGCTGACCACGCTGAACCTCTTCTTTGCGGGCACTGAGACCGTCAGCACCACCTTGCGTTACGGCTTCCTGCTGCTCATGAGGCATCCAGAAGTGGAGGGTGAGGCTGGAGGGAGTGGTGTCTCTGACTCAGACATTCCCAGACTCTCGGGTCCTCAGACACCCCCTGCTAATCAAAGAAAAGCTGATACTTTGCTGGCAGGGACCAGTCAAGTTTCACCCACTGTCAACATTTTGAAAATGGCTGGGATGCCAGGTCCTCTGCTCAGTCCACGAGGAACCCCACTGTCCTCTATCTCCTCCAGCAATGTGTATTCACTGGACTCAACAGTTCCACTCTGAATGGATGGTTTAGTGGGTAAGAACTTGTGCTGCCAACCCACAGGGTTGTTGTTGTTGTTGTGTGCCATTGAGTCAGAACGACCCATAGCTGACCCTCCAGTGGGTTTTCAGAGGCGGTTATTGCATGGAGGAGATTTTTTAGACTTCTCCCATGTAGCAGTGGGTGGATCTGAACCACATGCCTTTGGGATTGCAGCACAACTTCACCACTAGGCCACCAGAGCTCCCAAACTCAAAGGATAGGCAGTTCAAATCCACCAGCTATTCTGCTGGAGAAAGATGGGCATTCGCCTCTTGTGCAATTTACAGCTGCCGAAAATCCACTAAAGAGTTAGCTGAGTTGGTTTCAATTAAATGACAATGAGTTTGGGTTCTGATCTCTATGTTAGAGGTAACCTGGGTGGCACAAAAAGTTAAGCATTTAACTATTAGCTAAATGGATGGTGGTTTGAACTTGGAAGATGTGTGTGGTGAGCTACTTCCAAAAGGCCAAGCCTTGAAAATCCTGTGGGGCAGTTCTGCTCTGTACACACGGGGTTGCCACATGCTGAAATTAACAGCACAGCGAGTAATCACAGCAGCAGTGTCTGTGTTGTATCAATGTCAAATGTTTTCCTCATCATCTCTATCCTGAGCCCTTGATCTAAATGCACCTTCCCTTCTCCACCAGCCAAGCTGCATGAAGAGATTGACCGGGTGATTGGCAAGAACCGTCAGCCCAAGTTTGAGGACCGGGCCAAGATGCCCTACATGGAGGCAGTGATCCACGAGATACAAAGATTTGGAGACATGATCCCCATGGGCTTGTCCCGCAGGGTCACCAAGGACACCAAATTCCGGGACTTCCTCATCCCTAAGGTGCTGCCCCCACTTGGCCCACAGACACTCCCCCAAACCTGTGACCCTTGCACCTTTGGATTCTTTACAATATGTGTTCCATTCTGTCATTCAAAGACTTTCCCAACCACCTTCAGCCTTCCCACTCAAGAACTCTAATACCTGTAACCCCGAATTTCTTGCCCTGGGAGTCATGAACTCAAGGTATTCTCACACTTCATGCCTCAGGAGATATGAACCCATTCTCCCGATCCTCTTAGAAGACACCTCATGGCTCCCCAATTTTCCATTTTCAAGAGGCATGAACTCTCTGTTATCCAAGTTTTCTAGCTGAGGGAACATGAACGCATGGGCTTATTTCTCCAGAGCCTCAGGAGCTAGAACCTACATCTTCAGACTTTGTCTCAGCAAAGCTAAACCACCAAGCATCCTGTCTCAGTAGACAAAACCCTCATATCTCTCAGACCTCTGAGTAGTACCTCTGGTCCCAGCCCTCATTTTTCCTCACCCCCTCTCCTTCCAAATCCCAGACTTACCTCCTGATCAAACCACCTCTCTCTCATCTCATTTTACAAAATCTCCTTTCCTCCTCCCCACCAGGGCACTGAAGTATTCCCCGTGCTGGGTTCTGTGCTAAGAGACACCAAGTTCTACTCCCATCCCAACGATTTCCACCCCCAGCACTTCCTGGATGAGAAAGGGCAATTCAAGAAGAGCGATGCCTTTGTGCCCTTCTCCATCGGTAAGAGACCCCTGTCAGCTGTCACATCACCATCCATGCCACCAGGGCTTCCCTCACCCCAGTCACTTTCTGAAATGTAGCCTAGTTATTGCTCTCTAGCCTGAAGACCCTCAGAGACGCTACCCTTGAGCCAGCCACTTGCAACCTCTATTAAGATCAAGCACAAAGCATCTGCAGCCAGTCAAAAAAAGGAAGGGTTGATGACACTATTTCTGGACATGGGAGAAAGCAAGGCCTAGAGTGAGACGTCTTTCTAAGCTCACACAACAAAGAGTCCAGATTCCTAAAAAGGAGACCGAGTAGCGCCATATTTGGAAGGAAGGGGCATCTAAAGTGCCTCCTTCTGTACCCTGGCAGGGGTCACTCCTAGCTCATCCTTATGGAAAAGTGAGTCGCAGAAAGGACTAGAGCTTTCCCAGAAAGTGTCTTAGATGATAATAACACGTCCTCCTCTCTGGGAGGTAGCGGTGGGATGAAGGGCCATGACTATCACCTGACTTCCGGTTCTCTCACATAACTTCCGGTTCTCTCATCTCACTTCCGGCTCTCACCTCACTTCCGGTTCTCTCCCCAGGCAAGCGGTACTGTTTTGGCGAAGGCTTGGCCAGAATGGAGCTCTTCCTCTTCCTTACCACCATCCTGCAGAACTTCTCCTTCAAGTCCCCGCAGTCTCCCAAGGACATCGATGTGTCCCCAAAACATGTGGGCTTTGCCACCATCCCACGCACCTACACCATGAGCTTCCAACCCCGCTGAGCAAGCCCAGTGCCTGGGCAGCGCAGGGGGTTCAGATGGGGAGAAGTGGGAGCTAGAGGGAGGGACTGAGAGCCCCAGATGAAGTGGAAAGGGGAGAGGGCTGAGGGAAAAGGAAAGTGGTTGGTGGACCAGAGAAAAGAAGAAATCCTATGAGTTCTGTTTACGTGCAAGAGGTAGATCCTTCAGAGAGTAGGTGGGAGAAGGAAAACCTTACAACTATGTTGTGCATAATACGTTGTGAATAATAATAGCCGCTTTTATTTATTAAGCAAGTGTTCTGTTGCCTCAATTCTAAAAACTTTACATACGCGTGCCACAAAGTTCACAAAGCTATAGATAGATATGCTATGCAATGCAGAACAAACAGCGTTCATACCCATTTTATAGGTGGTGCAGCCAAGGTTCAGAAAGTATCTGAAGTCGAGCAGAACACAAATACTTAAACCCAGATCTCTGCAGGAATGCCTAGACTTAACCTATAGCCCTTAAAGCAGATTGTAAAAGCCTTTCTAAATAACACAACAACTTAGTATGCTATCACACAATCTCAACAGCTCTGTTGTGGGCACTTGGCCTGGCTTCACGACCCTGTTGTTCACTCACAACTCACCTTGGATGTCTGTGCCTCTCACCAAGGAAGGCTGCTGTGTCCTGTTCAGAGTTGCATGGGAGAATAGGAATCAGATCCCTTACTGAGATGGGTGGGGAGAGAGAGGCTTTTCAGGAAATGTGGGAGAAGTTGGGATCACGGGGTGGTGCCAGAGTAGGCAGCATTCCTTTCCTTTGTGTCTTCAGCTAGGTTGAGAGCAAATAGCATCATATGACAACTCATACCCATGCATGTTGGTAAGAGGTTTACTAGAAACCTTGACTCATAATCTCAGGATTTATGGAATAACAAAGAGTCAAATCTTAGAACTGCTGCTACTGTTCCTATGTACTGTTGAGTTGGAACCGACCCATAGCTGACCCTCCGGCAGGTTTTCAGAGGCTGTTAATTTAAAGGGAGGGTGCCCACCCTTCTCTAGTGGAGCAGCTGGATTTGAACTGTATGCCTTTGGGATTGCAGTGCAGCTTTTTACCACTAAGCCAACAGAGCTTCCTGTTGTTGCTATTGCTGTTAGGTGCCATCAAGTGGACTCTGACTCACAGGGATCCTTTGACCAACAGATCTGACCTTGCCCTATTCTGCACCGTCCTCACCATCTCTGACATGTTCCAGTCCATTGTCACAGCCACTGGGTCAATTCATCTTGTTAAGGGCCTTCCTCTCGTTAACCTCCCCAGCATGATGGTTTTTTTCCCAAGGACTGTCCCCTTTTGACCACATGTCCAAAGTGTGTGAGACAAAATTTCACCATCCTTGCCTCTAAGGAGCACTCGGGGTGCATTTCCTCCAAGATAGACTTGTTTATTCTTGGCGGCCCACAGCTTATGCCCAAGTTCAAAGTTCTTAGAACTGCAGAGTTCACAATTCCAAATCCTGGAATCTCAGATTCCCAGAACCTTAGATTCCCAGCACTGTTTTAGCTCCCTGATACTTGACAGTATTGGTGCTCAAAACTTTAGCATCATGGCTTTCTCTGCTCATGAGAACCCCGTTCCCACTCCTAGAAACAAAAGTCAGTTCTCCCAGCTGAATATTCTTTTTAAGAAAGAGTGCAGTAAGGTGAAAACTAACTGGGTTCTGCCAAGGAGAGGTACCCTCAAGGGAAGACAGAATGTCCCAGGTTTAGCTTTCCAGGTGGACAAAGGAAAGGAAGAGGAATAAGTACTTGTTGCCATAGTCCTCAGATTTACACTTTAAAAGTAGAACGTGCTGAGAGAAGTCACATTCCAACTACTAACATCCAGTCCTACTTGTCCAAACAAAACCCTCTCAATTTAGGTAATCTGGAACGACCTACCCCCGACCATTGCAATGAGATTGGGACGTGAACTGCGAAGGGGAACAGACCTTTAAACTCACTGCCACTGAAGTTGAAACCAACACATAGCTCACATTCCAGTGGGTTTTCAGAGGCTGTAAATCACACAGGAGGAGCATACCCATCTTTCTCCTGCAGAGCAGCTGGTGGATTCGAACCACCTGTCTTTGAGTTGGCAGCACAGTTTCTTAGCCAGTAGGCTGCCAGAGCTTCCTGTTAACTCCTTAGGCATTCATTATTATTCTTGTTATTGTTGCTGTTGAAAACATACACAAAGAAATGTAACTATTAGTAACTTCTCCATGTACAGTTTGGTGACACTGAACATGTCCTCCAGGTTGTACAATCATTCTCATCCTCCTTTTCCAAGTCGTCCTTCCCTGCTAACACAAGCTCACCACCCTCTGATTTCCTATCTGATCTTTCAAGTTGCTGTTGTTGACATGACTCCATATAATAAAGCTTGAAAGAGGGTGATGCCCAGGCAGACAGTCTCTACTCTTTCATTCCCATGGAATCTCTTCTAACTCACAGCCGATCCTCCTTCCATATAGTTCCCAAGGTTTTCAGTCAAATGGGAGGATATTATCCATCTTTCTCCTTCATAGTGGCTGGTGAGTTCAAGCCACAACTCCCTGTGGACTCCACCAGAGCCCATTCTTTACTCAGCAACAACTTATTATCATTGAATCAGAACTGACTCATAGCTCAACCTCCAAATGATTTTCAGGAGGCTGTAAAGCACATGGGAAGCTATTGTCTATCTCCCATGGATCCACTGGTGAGTTCGAACCAGCAGAGAGGAGCCACCTTTGGGTCAGTAGCACGACTCCCCAGAGGCCACACCACCAGAGTCTTGATGAGCTAAGTTAAATAGTTTACCAGCTGAATGGGATTCTTTACTGTTATTAAGTGTGATCAAATTGACTATGACTCATAGAATCTTATAAAATAATGGATCTGAACCTTGTCTTATCCTGTGCTCTCCTCATCATCTCTGATATAGTTCAGGCCATTGATTCTAGGGCGCTCTGGTGGCCTAGTGGTAAGAAGCTGCACTTCAGTCCCAAAGGCGTGAGGTTGGAATCCACCAGGAGCTCTGTGGAAGAAGAATGGGCAATCTCCTCCCATGAGATTTACTGCCTCTGGAAGGTCAGCTGTGGGTCATTCTGACTTGAGAGCACACAACAACAACAGCAGTGATTCTTTACTGTTGTTGTTGTTATGTGTCATTGAATCGTCTGCGACTCATAGCAACACTATGTACAACAGCCCTAAACCCTGCTCTATCCTGTGCCAGTTTCACTGTCTCTGACACACCCACCACGATTACCCCAGTCACTGAGTCAATCCACCTCATAGAGGGTCTTCCCCTCCTGAGCTGTCCTTCTACCCACTCAAGCATGATGTCCCTCTCCAAGGACTGGTCCCTCCTTACAACATGTCCAAAGTATGTCAGACGAAGCTTCAGAATCTTTGCCTCTGAGGAGCAGCCTGGTTTAACCCTCTCCCGGATGAACCTGTTCATTTTCTTGGCAGTCCATGGTATAGTCAATACTCTTCTCCAACACCACAGCTCAAAGGCATCAATCAATTCTCATTCTGTCATCCTTAGTCATTGTCCAGCTCTCTGAAGCATAGCAAGTGAGTGCAAAGACCATGGCCCATATTAGGTGTACCTTAGTCTCCAGAGTGACACCATTGCTCTTCAGTACTTTGGAGAGGTCCCTATCAGCAGACTTTCCTATCTAGCTAAACTAAATTCTTGACTGTTCTTGGAAGGTGCCAAGGAGTCTACTCTTGTTGTTCATTATTAGGTGCCTTCGAGTCAAGTACAACTCACAGCGACCTATGAAGAATAAATCTACACCCTGTCCTGTCATGTGCCATCATCATCTTGAGCACATTGCTGCAGTCACTGTGTTAATCCATCTTGTTGAGGGTCTTGCTCTCTTTCACTGACCTTCCACCTTTCCAAGCATGATGTCCCTTTCCTAGAAACATGCCCAAAGTATCTGAGACAAAGCTTTTTCTTCGTTTTTATCTTCAGAATTTTTATTAACAGGATCTGGAGGGGCCAATCAACATCCAACTGATAAAAAACCCAATAGAGAAAAACTGACACAATAGTGATAAAGTTAAAAAGGGGGGAGCAATGTAATGTTTCTGTGCATCTTCATAAAAATAAAGATGACCCATCACATATTTACAGTACATTGTCCCCTGTAGTCTATCTGTGTATCTAAATGAAGCTCCAGGCTTTAAAAAGCCACATTAGGGGAGCTCTGGTGGCCTAGTGGCAAAGAGCTGCAACTACAATCCCAGAGGCACACGGTTCGAATCCACCAGATGCTCTGCCGGGAAGGAGGGACAATCTCCTCCTGTACCAGTCAGATCTGATTTGATGGTACACGCACACAAAAATAATAAAAAAATTTTTTTTAAAAAAAGCCACATTGGACTTAAGCCCAATTCATAGTATTCTCAGGTGGAAGACATAATACTTTACTTACAAATATCATTGGTGCCATTATTAAACAGAACTTTTGCACCTGGCAACAGAACCTTCTGCAATCTCTCATTCATTTTCTTTGGAGGGTTTGTTTTTCTAAATCAACCACAACACTTAATTTATTTCTATTAAGCAATTTAAAAGGACTATTGTAGCCTGCAGTATAGTAAACTTATTAATCAAAAACCTTTCCTTCTTTCCTCAGAAGATTTGCTAATGTCAAAAGCTGTTCTTCATTCTTTTGGACACTAGAGAAACCATCGAAAGACCGAACAAACAGAGTCATCTCAGCTCCGTCTTCAATGAAGAAATCTGACTCACGGGCTTGGGCGGATCACACTACAGTTTGGAGGGAAATGTGTTGTGTACCGTGGAGTCGGAACCTACCCATAGCTGACCCTTCGATGGGTTTTCAGAGGCAGTTAATCACAAGAGAGGAGATTGCTCATCCTTCTCCCACGGAGCGGCTGGTGGCCTCGAATCACGTGCCTTTGGGATTGCAGCGCAGCTTCCTGCTACTACACCATCAGGGCCTGGCTGCACATAGTTTGTCACAGGAGCAGTCATCTTTATTTTCATCTCTTTCCCCT